TGACTAAGTAGAATTAATAGCAGATTATTTTACATTTATCTAAATAATCAAGACCAAGTTCGAGCAACTACTACAAGACCTCACCAAGTGAAAAAATAATAATGTACTACCACAGAAAATACCCTTAGTATTGAAACAAAATACTTCTGAAGTAGAACAATTGACAAGCCTTTTGATAGCATATAAAGTTAAAATAAGTCAGATGTGAATACAACTTTATCTGGTATTAATTCAGCTTGACCAAATTATAAATACGTTATTTGAAACTATTGAATTAGACTTATATACCAAAGAAGTAGTAATTAGAAAACTAAGAATAACTATACAAGCAATTCAAGCAGTATCAAGTACGAGTAGGCCCCTAATTATTATCTACCCAACAGATGGAAGATCTACAAATTGAATATCTAAAAGGAGAATACAAGTTGTATAAAACTAAATCAAAAGAAAAATACAATACAGAAAAAATTCTTAAACAAATTAAATATCTCCAGAATAATATAATTAACATATTAATTAAAGAACAAAAAGAAAATATCAAAGAAAATAAAAATAAAGACTTAAATATTGACAACTTATTTAAATACAGATATATTATTGATTTAATCAGAAGAAAGAACAGAATCAAAAATTGGTTAACAAGGTACGAAGATAGTAGACTCAAAGCTTTTTAAACACAAAATTATTATATAGCAGCTTTAAAATATACACTGTATAATATTACTGGAACCATACCAATTATACACAATAATAAAGTAGAATTAAGATACAATGAAAAATTAAATAATGAGTATCATTAATAAAGATATCGCAAGTAATAATATTCGACTCAAAATCAGCAATATTATTAGCACAACGAATATATTCAAAGAAAGTATATTATCAATATTATAGGCACTAGGAGGAAAGCAAGTTATATACTTTGAATCGTTTAAACAAATAGCTAAACGAGAAACATTTGAAGAAACAGGAATAGAAATACCTTTTAGCAAATTAACAGAAGTTATATATAGTTATTATTCAGAAAAAAATATTGAAATAAAAACATTTATTTACAAGAACAGAACACAATATCCACAAATTCTCAAACCTGAAAATCATACAACGTGGAAATTTTATACCAAGAAACAAGTACAACAATTACCAGAATTAAGTAAGTATCTAGAAGGAATATTTAAACAAATACAACTAATTAATGGACTAAATAAAGACTTACAATACTGAGTATACCTAAAAAGTGAATATAAATTCAGCAAACTGGTATATAATACAGAAAAAGTAAAAGAAAAACTACAACATATATTAACAGAATACTTTAACCTAGCAATTAAACAACAATTCAAAGATATAGAAGCAACTAAAATTTATCAACACAATATAGACTTCATAAAACAAGCAAGCACTATACAAGAAACAATTAATTACATTAAACTAGTAAAACCGCTACCAAGTGCAACTCTCAAAACATATAGAAATATAATACATAAATTATATTACATAAAGAATGGATACAATAAAAGATATTTTAATACCGACCCACCAGTATCTCTAGAAGAACCACCTTCTATATTATATACTAGAATATAATGATTATGCAAACTAAATACAGTAATTCAGAATCAGAATCAATAGAAGAAACCTTAGAAGTATTTTAACAACGATTTAATTATTATTGGAACTTTCATCAAGAAAGAATACTGTATCCAAAAGATGAGTATTATGAAAAAGAATTGTTAGAAAATGAAGACATAATTAAACAATAGCATATACACGATATCCAATTTGACATTCAAGCTACAATAGAAACACTGTTAAAAAGACTTAACCCAACCAATAATTACAGACTAGGATTAATATTAGTACTACTACAAGTAGCAAATAAAGCAGCTGACTATATTACGCAACCAGAAAGAGAACCAAGATCATTTTCTAAAAAAACAGTTCTAGAACAAGAAGAAACAGCATTACAAATATCTGATTACTTCAATTATTTCGAAGTGACACTATCAGGAATTTGTAAACATTTTGATATAGAAAATGCTGATAACAATTATATTCCAAACCCAATAGGACACATATTATATAAAGTAATATTTAGCATCAATATATTATTAATTACCAAAAAAATATTTGTGGAAGTAGAACAGAGAGAACATATTCTCTCAAAACATTTAGACTGCCAATGATTTATAATACCAAAAGTTTACAAACATTATCGAAACAACACAACACAGTGGCCAAAAAGACCAAGTAAACCAATCTTTGTAAAAGAAGAAATTAAAGGGTATTATCCTATTGAACCAACAAAAATAATAGAAAAAATAGCTCCATTATTTTATTATCTGCAAATCATATTACAAGACATAGAAACTGAAATACAGTGAAAACACTTGAAAACAACAGAATTAATTATATTGTATAAAAATAGAAAGTATATTGAACTTCTAAAATTAGGATCTTATATTAACCAAAAATTACAATACATACTG